TACCGGAGGTTTATTTTATGTAAAGAGAATGGAAAGTTATGCAAAGTGTGAAAATACAGTACTGGTATGGTGTAAAGCATCAAGCTACTTGCAAAAGTTCTGTATTTCATTTTTATGATGGAACTGTTTACACAAAAGTACTACTCCTAAATTTTCAAAAGTTTATATACATAACTGACTAGCTTGTATCCTCAAACCTTTAAAGTTTTTCCACATGGCAGTGGAAAAAGAAATAATTCAACATCCAAAGTTCACAGACCCATAGAGTCTTTACAGCTGGAAGGACCTCTGGAGACCATACTGCCCAAAGCAGGGTCAGCTTGAGCAGATTGCCAAGGATCACACACAGCCAGGTTTTGAGTATCTCCACAGCTGGAGAATCCACAACCTCTCTGGCCAACCTGTTCCAGGGCTTCATTACCCTTATGGTGAAAACATTTTTTCTGATGTTTCAGTGATATTTCTTCTATCTCAATTTGCACTCAAGAAAAGAGCACTATTAAGAAGGACTAGATGTTAGAAAGTCAAAACATTTAGAGGACCATGTTGAATGCTGCAGTCTACAATTTTTCCAAAATGCCAATGAGAAACAAAGCAGAAACTTCTCAAGATGCCATTTCAGTATTCTGTGACATAGGATTGCACACTGGTCTCATACCAGTTTGACTGCAAGACCATAGAGTATGCCCATCAGAATAGCCATTAATAAAGTTTCTCCCACACCTTCCATTTCAGATTGTGAAAATCCATGCTGCACAACACCATGTGCAGTCACCTAGAAGGATCAGTAGAAGTGAAACCACACATATATTACTCCATCAACTCACAAACTACTGTAAAACCATCATCACCATCTGCACCAACAGACACCTAAAAAGCTCAAGCCTAGAGCACAGATTCTTCCCATTCAGTAGAGGAAATTCCAGTTTATGAATTACTCTTTCTCCACTATGAGAAAGCTGCCATTTAATTAGCGTATCTTCTGACACTAGGAGTACAAGTAGTCACTTCTAGAACACCATGTAAAGGATGCAGTCTGTATCCCTAGTCTGCTGTTTCTCCCCCTCGCTACCCATCCCACTTCTTTGCCAGTGCTTCAGTATTTGTGCCCATCTGTCAGGAAGATTCCCAGAGAGAAGTCTCACGAGGTGACAGATCTGGTTTTGCTGCTGAAAAAGGCAGTCCCTCACCTGCTCACATTAATACTGCCTTCCTTACCCTACTGTTTTGTACTTCTGTGATGATGTGAAAATAAAGTCTAACTCACTAAGCCAGCAAAAATTTAATACATTCATTTTTGCATTCTTTTGGGTTTGTGATAAGAATCAGCTCATAAAAGATGTCAGAATCAGTCACCAAAGAATGTGGAAGTGAGAGGCAATAGTACCTTTTCGTAGCAGCAACTACTGTGTCAGCTCAAGCACCCTTCGGAAGTTGCAGCCATCTATTCACTTTCTTCCATATACGTCTTAGTACATACAGTAAGGCTTCCCCTAAAAGTTTCACTCTGTAAGCTCAAGCTTTATAGTAAGATTTTTCTGCATTTTTTACCCATATTAAAGTGAATCAACAGTACATAAATTGCATATGTTGACTACAGTTTTTCTTTCTTTAGCTAAAACAGGGAACAAAATGTCTACTGACATTTTACTTTATATACATATATATATTTTACTTTATAAACTGCCCCAGAAAGGGACAGCTCCTCTTAAATTGGAGGTCTACTACAGAATTGAAAGGTTTTATTACCAAAAAATTACTTTAGATGTACCATATTTCACCATATCAACAAATTCTAATATTTTACATGACATTTAGCTTCCTATACTAGGCAAACAGGCAAGGAAAGTCAAAGTCAAAGAGTCTACTGGCAAACAGTAAAGCATCACCAAGAAGACTTTTCAGGTAATTTTACTGTCAAAGGTACATAGTTCATTATTAGATCCCTACTGGGGGCAAGAAGGTTCATGGAAAATTAGGCTAAAATGCAATGAACAAGGAATACTAACTAAATAAATAACTAAAACTAACTAATAAACTAAAGCAGATCAGTCCTAAAAGCAAATTTTAAAAGTACATTGCACAAAAAAGCATGTAGATACAGATGAACATAAACTAAAGAGGAAGACTAGATGTAAATTTAACTGAAAACAGTTAAATCTGTCCATCAGGTGGATGTGGTTAATATACACAAACACCATATTATGGGGAAAACAAACAAACAAAAAAACCCACAGAAGTCAATCAAGTCAAAGAATAACAGCAAAGATTTGGGACACCATGTTACAGGTACACGACAAGCTGTCTACATTTCAAAGCAAGAGATTCGAGTAAGTTTGAATTTTACTGACTCTAAAATGGTACTGCTTTATGCGTGGGTACCAGTATTTTCAATATATTCCTGTTAGACTTTCTTACTTCCCAACTGCCTGGCCAGGAGGGCTCTGGAGCACAGAAGTCATTCTCTGTAGGCTAGAACAAGCCACATAACAGTCTTAGCAACCAAAAAGAGAAATTACAGGGGATTCTTGCTGTATACCTGCAGTGAGAATCAGCATGGTTAATGCCATTGTGCATTTAAGCAGCTAATCCCTAAAAAGTCACTACTCAGCATGTATGAAATGATATTTCCAGAAATTTATATTTTGGCCAAGTTTTAGCAGAGCTTCACAAGTATTTTCACAGAGGACTGGCAACTGGTGAATCAAAACCCTCCAGCAAAGTAGCAGCCCTCCACAAATCACTTGCAGAATTTTCTGTATAAAAGTAAACAAAAAGAATGGATTTTCCTCTTGACCTTGATTGAGAAGAAACAGTTGTTTATTCTACGGCTTCCCTCCTTCCTCCCCCTGAAAAAAAAAAAAATCAACCTAAAATAAAAAGATAGACATGGAATTTTCCATCTATACATGCCTCACAGCTAAACAATGTTACAACTAAGTGGTTTGTAATAAAAAAAGCTTGTTCCCACATTATAGGAAACCTATTGCTAACATGCAAGAATTTAAACAACAGAAAGGTAAAAAACACCACCTCCTTCCCCCCCCCCAAAAAAAAAAAAAAAAAATTGTCTTCCAGATATCAAAGCATTTGAGAGCAGAGTTCTCAACCATCCACTGGTCTGCACACCAACAGTTATCCTGGTGCGCATAAATTGAAACTCCAGAATCTGGCCCTACCAGAATGTCCCAACATCTCCAATTTCATGACTAAAAGTACATATTTTGTTTCTCAAAATTATCTTATTCTTCGCAAAAGCTGGCCTAATGACACCTGTAGATGTAGTCTCTGCTGTACTTTTAACTCAGAATGCAGGTGAGACCCCCAAGATTAGCTTTGCAGAGGCCAAAGGGCCAGGCACACCATGAGAATAGGTTCCAAATCCCTCTGTTTTGCAGAGCACCACTAGGGGGTTCACAGTTCCTCACTTAGAGATGTCATGAGGCTTTGTAACCAGCTATACCAGCCTTCCAGGAGAGCTGTGAAGGAACTAGAAAAAAAAAATCAGCACTGCGGTTAGCCTGTCCTCACTGGGCAGCTTCCTGCATGAGCAGGAACTAAGACTATTTTCAAACCTCCACCTCTAGCCATTAAGACTAGCTCCCACTTTTGCACCTCGAAATCTAGGCCAAAGTCTTTCCTCTGCAAATGGGCATCATGACTGCCTTAAAACTCAGGCTTTAAGAGACCAGGAAGGCTGTCTCCCTAAAGGGCACACATACCTTTCATCCACTGCCATCTTCTTCAAGAACTTTGTTGTTCTTCCCCATACTGCTTAAACATGAAGACTGTTTTATCTAAGACATGCATACTGAAAAGGCCACACATATAATTCATCAGTCTTCTATCAACATATTAAAGATTTTGGAATTTCTAGAATATCATTGTGCTGACAACTTCTAAGATGACAGAACAACCAAATAAAATACAAAAGTGCTTTCAGAAAAAACAATACAAAAAAAAATAAAAAGATGAGAAGGAGAAGGTGCTTTTTCGTGAATACATTTTTAAGACAAAAGGACTTGACTTTAAAACATAAAAATATCACAGCTCAGTGGTCTGTTTAGTAACTTTTTAAAGCCAAGACACACTCTTTGCAAGCCTTCCTGAATGACTAAGTAAAGGCCAGAAATGTTTCCATATAAAATAGATTACTTTTAGGATTCTTTTCCTAAACATTCATCATCCAGCATGATTTATGTTTTCATAAAAAAAATAATGCATTTCTTCTAAAAAGAAAAAGGTATAGTACAATCTGACTTCTATTTTCTGTGAAAATCATGCTGCAGCTGAAGTAGAACAAAAAGAGGTAACAGACAGATGTTCAGTTTATACATATTAATGTAAAGTATCCTATTACACTAATGAACCTATTTTTAAATGCTTTTCTCTTTACCTATGGAATTTCAAAACAAGCTCTAGCATATCGTAACAACTTCTAGTTCTTTCATCTTCTACTCGTGTATTTTAAGAACATTAAAAAAAAAAATCCTGGATGCATATCAAGGTAAAAAGAAAAAAAAAATTTACTTGTATGCCTACTTTTCTTTTCTGAAAGTGATATGAGATAAAGTCCTTAACCTCTTGTGGTCAGAGAACCAGCTGAGCTACACAGAATGGAATAAATAACTCGTCTTTTCTACTTTTCATGTTTTCATTGTTGGCTACAGCTAAAGTTTAGTGCTTCCTTAGACTTCAGTTATTCCTGTGACATCTTATTTTCATTTTGTGTTTTAATACCTATCATGGGGAAGAAAAAAAAATTAAGATACCTTTCCCTTCCCATTAATGAAAAGAAACAAGGCAGCTTTCTAGCTAATACTGCACTGCTGATACTACTTCAATGAGAATTCCACAACCAAGGACCATACTTAATTATAAAATCATCAGTGAAGAACATAAATACACTCCTTAATCAGGCTGTAAAAACAGGTAACTTCCTAATATCCATTGACTGAAAAATATATAAAATGTTACACTTCCAAAGAACATGTATTTACCTTTGTTGCAAGTTGTGACACTGAAGATGAAACTTCATCATGAAGAAACTGGTCTTTATTCTCAAAAAAAGGATAAAGACAAAAAAGGCCCACAGTCAGTTTTGGTTGGACAATTACCAGCGACACATTTTAGAGTATTCATAAATGCTTTTGTTCTGTTCAGCCCATCATAAAAGAAAATTGACAAAATGTGATCACAATGAAAAACTCGGTGAACACCACTACTAAAAAAGGAAAAGTGAACAAAACTACACTTAGAATGATGAAAAATGTTGCACCAGATGCAAAAACCAAAACCAAGCCCTCACAAAACCACAAACCCCACACCCCAAAGAGAGATCAAGAAAACACCTTCATCATAACAATTTTAATACAATTAAAATATCTACGCCAATTTTCTGAACACCATACTAGGTGATGGTCTACACAGTCTCTGTAGGCTGGGGGGAGAGGAAGCATTACATTTACTGAACTCAAGGACAGACTTTGGCCCACATCCTGTCCCCTCCATTTAAAACTGAAGATTTCTGAAGAAAACCAGAGTACTAGAGATTCTTGAACGTAACTCCGTAGGGCAGCATTTCTGTCCATCTCTAGATTAAGCTGGCGTCTTAGTACACTCAGGCTATTCTACTGCTATCAATGTTCTTCTCAAGACTGAGCAGGTAAGATCAGTGTCAGGAGTACTTTAAAGGCCAAAGAAAGATACAGAAGTGGGGCATAGCATACAGAAATTATGTAATTTTCACTTTCTTCAGCCTGTGTTTTCATAAGAAAAACACTACTTTGTTTTTTTTGCTTTATATATAACTGCAAATGCAAACAGTCCCCAAGTACAAAACAAGGCCAGCTATCTATAACTGAACCAAAACACATAGTATCCCAGCTCCTACACATTACCACGTAGCTCCTTCACTTTGCTAACACCATCAGAAAGAAGTGATAAAGTCACCATGAGAAGCATATTTCTAGTCATGTCAGGGCCCAGAGCTTTGTCTTGAGCGAAAGGCTTCAAACCCCATGCATCTTTTTTTGTTATATTTATTTTTTAATATTAAAAAAAATATTTTTATTTATTTGCCTACTAATATTTCCACTTACTTTATAGGCAATCCTTTATATTATAAGAGGGACAAGGATAGAGTTAGGAGCATTTCTAGAACAAGTATAAATACCATCACACTATAGTTCAATAATAACTGTGTGTTGAAGTAATCTGTAGATAGATAGCTTTACTTGTTGGGGCAGAACACAAAGTCAGGAACTCCTATTATCCAAAATGAGACTATTACTTCCTGTGGATCTTAACAAGTTATTTAACTTCTGGATTTTGGTTAGCGGTCTTTAACGGAGGATATTATTGTAGATAGGATACCAAAAAAGACGAGTTAAGACCTTTCTTCTCTAAAATTAAATTAAATTAAGCCCCCCTTTTCTCTCTTTAATTTCTTTCACTTTAAGAGAATTATTGGCAATGTTTTAGACAGAAACCCACACACATACCATTTCAGCAGTTTTCTTGTTTCTCCTCAACTGTTAGCTCTCAAACTTTTGGATTAAGTTGCAAAGTTTTAGACTTAACACGATGGCATTTCTGCTTGGACACAGGGTGAAAGCTAGAGAACACTTCAAATCTTTCCAGGGAGAAAAAAAAAAAAAAAAAAAAGCAAGAACTAGAAAAGCCTCAAGGGGAAGTATGGTAAGAGGGTAATTCATCTCAGACATCCAGAGCTGGCAGAGCTACCATTTCAACAACCAACAATATCATCTCCAGAACACACAAGACACTGTTGGTATCTCCCAAAGACATAGCACCTCTTATTTTAATTCTTCCAGCTCTCCAAATATCTTAAGAAGGATAATAAAAATATGAAAGCGCATAGAGATTTCATGCTGTACTACAAAGAAGGGGAAAAAGTGGATGTGTGGAAGCATACAGCCTCTAGCAAGCCAGAGCACAATGAAGTAACAGTGTGAAGCAACTTTCACAGTGAAAATTTATAGGGGAAAATTGAGAGAGGCAATGAGCACCTCATAATATAATGCCAGCATAATAAAATGTGAATACCATTGTTGATAAAAGATGCAATTCACAATAAGTAGACAACAAAAAGAGGTATTTATTTGCTTTAAAAGTGTGACAACTAGGGCTGTGTTTCTGTGCTAATGCAGTGCTGCTTCTCATGGTCATAGAAGGTGCTGCCTCATAAGGAATGAGACAGTATCCTGCAGTAACTATGCTTGTGCAGCAGAGGCTGGTGGTAAGAAGACAACACAAAGTTGAAAGATACAAAACACAAAGATTAAAAGATATGAAACCGTCAAGAAAACAACTGGTGTGAATGCAATATCTAAAATGCATTTTTTTGAGCAGAAGACCCATCATGTATCCATAGTATCCTTTTAAGGTACGCTGCCTAAGAAAATGAGACTTGGACAACAGTAGTGTGCTTGTGATGTCCATCTTTACATTCCATGTCCTCACTGGGAAGAGTCAAGGAGAAAAGGCAAGAAGTCATATACCACCCACCTTCACTTGTTACCCACAGAATAATTTACATTTTTTAGTGATACACATTAGTACACCCTCTCCCGATAAATATTCTCTACTTTTGTTACCATTCTGAGATGAGGGAGACTACAATTTGGTTTTTCAAATCTTATTAAGGGGGCAACCTACTGTACAGCTACACATAAAGAATGAAGATGACTTATCATGCTCCCCAATATGCTGCCCTTCAACACTTACAAATTATCTCAGTGTATTTTAGTCTGGGTGGTTTACAGTTCATTTTTTTACTTCACCTTGAAAGAAAAATATAGACCACATTATAGTATTTAGTAACTAACAGATGAATAAATGCCAACACTAGTGGGAAATGCTGATCAGCAACTTGAATAGCCTTCCAGTTCTGGCAGGGGAAGGCTGGTATGCACAGTGTGTTTTCATAAGGAAACAAGTGCCCTTTTGTTGGACATACTGCAAACCATAAGGTACTCAAGGGATTAATTCAACTAGCACACAAACCTTTTTGTACAGAGATCAAAATTGTAATCTACTTCCCTCAGCTTCCTTTGTGGTAAAGTAATTAATTAGACTCTTTAGATCATTCACTTTCATAATTCAGGCCAAGATAAGAAACACTGGACATCAAAGTGTTAAGGCAAATAATAGCATCACCTCACCCTGTATGCCCTTTTTTTGCTATAGTCCATAATGGTGTATTATTGATTTTCTCTACCCATTTGTGGAACCTTCTTATCGTACACACACTAGCTGTCAAAGCCAAGCACATGTAAGAGTAAACAAGCTATTATTAAAAGAGAAGGTCCTTTAGGTACAAATTCTTGCCCTTATACTGACCTATTATATCCTCTCTGGCTATCATCACATCCCATCAAGGACTGAGTGTAATTTAAAGTCTAGGTTATCATGCCTGTAAGTGAAAATTAGATTATGAACCACAAACGTATCATTCAAGTGGGAAAAACCCCAAAACAAACTCAAGAGATACAATCCAGGGTTAGAATTTAACAGAATTGCCAGTATCCCGCAAACCTCATGAAGTAATTTAGAAATAGAAGACAGGAAGGTTAAAAAAAAAATTAAAAAAAAAAAATAAAAAAAAAATAAAAAATCACTCAGGAAATCACAAACCTGAAAGTTAACCTCTGAAGCTGGAAAGAGTCCCAAAACACTGATTACAAACCAAACAGTTGAACAACTACATATACACAGCCTGGCCAGAAACAGCACAGATTCGGAAGAAGAGATCACACTGCCAGATCACCATCTTAAAATAGAGCTAACAAAAGAAACCTTTTCCTTGGGTTTGAGTAGGGTCTTGCTGTAACATCAAATGAAATGAGCAGATGTCACTCTGCCTAATTTTAGAACTGAATCAAAACCAATGCAAAATGCCCTAAAACATGGGTGAGAAGAAAGTTATCAGTTGAAGATCAGTGGCAGTGAGCCTCATTTTCTTCATTGCACCTATAATACACACCTGGAAAAGATCAATGTGTGACCATATGCTTTCTAAGTCAGGAAATTGAGGCAGCAGTGATCAAATATAAATGGGCACTGAAACCAGTATACTGTTTTGAACTTTTAACATTACTGAAAAATAAAGCTGAACTATACCTGAATTCTCACACCAAGCTTAACATCCTCTTTGAGGAAAAACAAAGTTTGCAACTTTAACAAATAGAGGATGCATTACACAGTCATACCTAGCTTTCTTCTGGAACACGAGACTATGAGTCCAGCAAACATAACTCCATGCTAAACTGTGAATTGCCTCTGCTTCCTTCTGGCAGAGGTAGCCTCGACTGAAATCAAGATTTCATTAGTCTTGTCCGTATTTCATCTACTGATAGATCTCAATCTTCCATTTTTGTGTCCCTAAAGCAAGTAACTGAACCAAACTAGCCATCAGGGCAGATGGTGTAAACTGAAAATTTCCTATTACTATCATCAACAAAAAATGTTAACCTGGGCATTTCTGAAGTCTGTTCATGCTCAAGACTATTTCAGTATTTTAAACTCATTTTTCTCTTTGATAGAAAATACTTTTCCACTCCAGACTGCTCACTACACTTAAACCATCTACATTATGACAATAAGCCATTTTAAACAGCACTATGACTAAATAGTGCCAGTGACTCTTATCCTGAATGTTTCTTCTGCCAGCCTTGGGCAAAACTGAAAATGCTTTGTCCATAAATTAGACATTAGGAAGAAATTTTTTACTGTGAGGATGGTGAGACACTGGAACAGGTTGCCCAGAGAAGTTGTGGATGTCTCATCCCTGGAAGCGTTTGAGGCCAGACTGAATGCGACTTGGAGCAACCTGGTCTAGTGGAAGGTGCTCCTTCCTGTGGCAGGAGTTTGGAACTAGATGATCTTTAACATCCCTCCTAATCCAAACTTTTCTATGATTCTATGATAAAGAAAAGGAAAATTTAAAAATCTAAGTATGTTAATTACACTTTCATCTTGAGATATATTAAGTAGACAACACTAATTTTGAAACATGCTTCTAAAATATAATTCATCA